TGAAGCTAAGAAAGCTTGAATAACTTGCTCGAGGCCACATGAGAACCAGTATTTGACCTAATCATTGTGGCTCCAGAGCAGATGCTCAGCCATTCTGCCTCTCTCCATAAAGACACTCTTAAGCAGAGAGAAGTGCGGAAGAGTGAGCTGCTTCGTCAGGGTAAGTCTGGTCCCCAGTGGGTTCCAGACATCACTGGTCTAAGTTCTAGGAATAGCCAGTGGCTCTGGCTGCCCCAAGATGTCCTTCCTCACTCCTGGGTCCCTAACTCCCAGAGCCTTGATATTCAGCTTTCAAAAATCCTAGATGCTTTTAGGGAAACAAAAAATTCAACCTAAATGCAAATATCAAATTAAATCTGAGGCTTTATGCATGAAGAACCAGCTCTGAGTTTTTTGGTGTTGTGGGCAATACCTATAAAGATACCAAGGAACACAGACCACTGTGCCTGCTCTCAGATAGGTTATAACCTCTGTGTGGTTGCACTGGCAATGGGACTGATTGCTCTCTCATTAAGCATCTGTGAGTCTCAGTAACTTTGTTAAATGGATGTCTAGGAGGTACCCTGAACAGAAGTGGGGACAAGCACCATGTCATGCGGACTTTAGCCTCCTCCCCACATTGTGCTCATTGGTCAGACACACTGACTTTGGAGGTTGCCGACGCTGTGCATGTGTGTATGTGGCGGGGGTGGGGGGGCCCAATTAGGCAGAACTGGATTGATTTGAAAGGGCAGTGACATTTTCCTGGTGGGAGTAAGCAAGGTTATGGTCAGATGTCAAGGAGGCAAGCATATCTTACTGCATCAAACCCTACTCTCTGGCACTTTATTAACTAGAACATGTTTATCCTGTTCAAATACACACAGTGGCTTCCTGAATAAAGTCCCTCGACTGGCATCCAGGCTCCCATAAGCTGGCCCTGACCTGCCTTCACAGGTTTCCTTCTCACTAAGTAACAGTAATTACATTTTCATCTATTACTTTATAATTTATGAAATGCTTCCACATTCCATATTCCTTTGACTCTTCTCAGTAACCATTTTTAGAGATGAGGACATAGACCCAGAAAGGTAAAAGAACCTGCCCAAAGCCACTACACCTGCAGTAGACTGTGACTGTGGAAAATGATGTATTATCATCTAGAATATCTGCTGCCCCTCCCTAGAGGTAGGTTACATTTTCCTGCTCCATCTACGTGAGGCTTTGGCATGGACTTGCTTTGGCCAATGGGATGTGGACGTCAGCCTGGGTCCTGAGTCCTGGAGTAAAGTGGACATGCAGCCCAGTTAGAAGTGGCCCACCATAGACATGTCATGTGAGCGGGAGATAAACCATTGTTGTGGGGTCACCTGTTATTACAGCACTGCTGTCTAAGCTGACCATACAATGGTAGAATCTGGCTTAGTCTAAAACCTTCTGAAGGTCCCTTTCAACCACATTCATCCCCTATATTCCAGATACATCACCCTCTGTCTTCTCACCTCCATGCCTTTTCTCATCCTGCTTCATCTGCCTGGAATTCCGTTGAAATTCTACCCATCTTCCAAAGTCAAGCCCAGAATGCACCTCTTCTGTGATGCTGCCTCATACCCATAATACCATGCACATAGTAAGCATTTACTTTGTGCCAACTACTACTCTAGCACTTTACTTGTTTTAATTCATTTAATCTTCACCCTATGAGATAAGCCCTATTACAGTTGCTATATAAGGACAAGAGAGATAAAATAACTTGTCCAAGATCACGCAATTGCTAATTGGCAGAGCCAAGACTCAAATTCCACACCCCTTTCACTTCGCTACATGCTTCTCTTTCTGTTCCATTACATTTCTGCACATCCCTTCCCCTCAACTGTAAAACAGCTTCTTTATCTGACTGACCACATTTTCTTGATTTAGGTTTAAGAATAAATTCTATTACTTATTGGTGGTATGACCTTGGGCTGATCACTTAATTTCTCTTCATATACTCACAGCTCCTAGTAAAGTGCCAGTAAATACTGACTGACTGATTGACTGAGTGACTGACTAAATGGATGAACTCTATGAGCCTTGGTTTGCCCATTTGTAAAATGGGAGTAATAAATGATACCTCTTTCCTAGGGTTGTTGTAGAGTTGAAGTGCTTAGCACAGGACATGGCGCATGGTAAGAATCCAATACAACTTACTATTATAAATTGTATGAAAGATAAATGTAGTCTATAATATACAGAGAGAAAAAAACTTCTCACTATAGAGATTGAGGAAAGCTAGCTTCATGGCACAAGTAACTTAAGTAGACTTTGAAGAATGCATAGGTTCTGGACACAGAGATGAGGTGAAGGGAAGGGCATTTTAGGCAAAGCTAACAGCATAGATAAAGACAGAGACAGTGTAAGTTTTAAAATCTTAATCCCCCTCTCCCCAGTTATACCATTTTTAGGGTCAGATCTAAGGAAATAACCCTAAATATTTAAAAAATTTATGCATAAAAATTTACACTGCAGCATTATTTATATAAGAACATGAAATAACTGATATCTCCAACAATAGGGAAGTGGTTAAATAAATGATTTTATATTCATCTGATATGGTATAATATAATTAATGTTATAATAACATTAACATTATAATTAAATAAATGAAAAATATATAATAAGGTCAGTATGATTACAACTATGTGAGAGGAAATTTTAAAACCAAAAATAATATACAGAAACCTAGGAGGAGATATACTAAAATATTAATAGAAGTAGCGTTGGAGTAGTGGGCTTTGGTGATTATTTTGGGAAATTTAAAAGTTTTCTTCTTTACATGAATTACTATTTTATTATAGCTAACATTTATTGAGTACTTACTAAGTATTAGGCACTGCACTGATATTTTATGTATATTATCTCACATAATCCACACAACCCTATGAAGAAGGTTCTCTTGTTACCCTATTATAAATAGGGAAACTAAGATTTATATATTTATACGATAAGCATATATTACTTTTATAGTAGGAAAACTATGTATTTATTATCTTTATTGAATATTTTATTATTAAAAGACAAGAGGTTCAGGTAACCCCCTCTTTCTTTGCTACTCTGAACTGTTAAAATAAACATTGTTGTACATATTTCTTTATGTATTGGTACTCTTATTTCTGTAAATTATATTTCTTAAAGTAATATTTGGGATCAAAGTATATGTGTACCTGTTTTATTTTTAACTAATTTTAGACTTACAGAAAAGTTGCGAAAATAGTACAGAGATAATTTGGCAATAAAAAATAATAAAATGCTGATACATGCTACAATTTGTATGAACCTTGAAAACATTATGCTAACCGAAAGAAGCCAGTCACAAAAGACCAGATATTATGATTTCATTTATATGACATGTCCAAAATAGCTAAATCCTTAGAGACAGAAAACAGAATGGTGGTTGCCTAAGGCTGGGGGAAGGTGGGAAATAGGGAGAGATTACTAATGGATATGGGGTTTCCCTTTGAGATGATGAAAATATTTTAATATTAGATAATAGGATTGGCTGCACAACTGTGAATATAATAAAAACAGTGAATTGTATTCTTTAAACGGGTGAATTTTATGGAATGTGAATTATATCTCAATAAAGCTGTTATTTTTAAAAAAACAGTACAGAGCATTCCTATAATTTCTCACTTAGGTTCCCCTGATATTCACAACTGGGAAATGATTTGATAAATTGTGGTATAGCTATACTATGGAATTTTAAAAGTGCAGAATTTTAAAAGTGAAATATAATATGATACTTTTTTCCTAAAAATTGTTTAAAGGAAACAAAAACCCTTTATATATGTATACGTGTATACGTTTCTTTATGTTTGCAATAGTACACGTAAAGTAGAAGCATGCAAGTTACACCATAGTAGAATCAAGAGAGAAGAACAAAGGAGATTATGCAGTTTGTTTTTATAACCCTCTGTTTAGTTTAATTTACTCTAAAAGGGCATGCAAGTTTTATAACTTTGTCAACTTAAAAATATTAAGGAAAAAAAGACAATAGAGGCTGCCCCTGGATTTCCCATGACTAGATAGTTATCTTTAGGTTTTAAGCAGCAAGAGGTGTATAAAATCACACATGCAGAGGCTCTGTGCCATCTGCTCCTTGGAGAGATAGAACATGAGCTGGAATCCTGAGGATGGAGGGAGGAGTTAAGATGAAATATTCTGGGTTTGGCAAAACTATATTTGAATCCCAGATCTCTGTCACCTACTGGATGTGGGCCTTGGGCCAGTTAACTGCTCTGGCCTCGGCTTCCTTATCCTTAAAATGGGAGTAATTAGATGCCCTCTTTCATCGAGTTTTAGTGAAAATGAGATCGTGCATGTAAGATGCTTAGCGTAGTACCTGGCACATAGTATTCAATAGGTCATAGGCATCATTGTTATTAATATTATCGATAGTAGGAGTTTCTCAGTCCATAGGTTGATGTGTTCCTATGCCATCAACCTGAGAACTGACTTTATTCGTGCTGGTATTATACCCAGCTAAAATAAAAGACTATATTTCCCAGCCTCCCTTACAGCTAGGGACAGGGGAAATCTGGGAGTGGGACTTCCCTTTGGAAAGATGCTCTGTTGCTCTTACTTCCCCTCTACCTTTCTGCAGTCTAGATCCTATAGATGATGGCTAGAGCCCTCTCAGCAGCCTCTGCCCATGCAGCGACCTTGTAGAAGAAAGCCACACCCTCTGCATGTTGGAGCAGAAGCACAGGAGCCTGAGTCCCTGATCACCCTGGAGACCCCATGCCAGCCCCAGCTTGCCTTTCTCTGGACTCCTTTCCTGTCAGAGAAAAATCAATCTCTAACTTGCTTAAGCCCCTTTCTTGAGTTTTCTGTAATATGAATATAAACCCAGTTTATATTCATAATAGAGTTCTCACAGAACAACTAACCTAAAAAGCAAAATCTTACGGTGAGAAGGTGGCAAGGGAAGTGACTTGGGGAGGGGCTGGCTGCCTTCTCCTGGGCTTGGCGTAGGCACTTACTCGTCCCCAATGTAGAGATTGGGCCACACCTCGTTGACGTGGGTGTACCGGGGACTGCCCTTCCAGAAGAGACGCTCCAGCTCGAAGGCTCCGGGGGTACAGTAGTCCTCCGCCTCCCTCTCCTCCGCCTTCGGCAGCAGCCTCTGGGCAGATGGGTAGGCATTCTTGAGGCTTGTCTTCGGTTCTCCGGATGTCATTTTGGAGCCAAGGGATTTTCTTTCCTTTCTGCAGCTGGTCATGAGAGAGGGTCAGGATTGGGGTTAGCAGGGGACAGAGGTAGGGAATGGGTTTTCAAAAAGAGGTGGGAATAAACTGATCTCAAGATCTGGCAGATATTTCCCAGGCCTGCTGTTCTCCTGCTTCCTCTTCCCAGGCCACAGACGTAAACAAGAAAGGTCATGATGGCAGTTAAACAACATATTCCCAACATTCCAGTCTCTCCAGGGCAGGAGTGCTGGGGCCCTCTGACGGGTGGAGGCAGATTTGCAGCAGACCCGCGACAAATCCCTGCTCCTTGCTTTCTTTCTTTTAGATTTTACTTCTTTTGTGCCCACTTTTTCCTTTATCTGACTGTAATCTGCTGACTTGGGCCATTTTGAACTGAATACGAAGGCCCAGAAGGTCCCTAACATTCCAGGCCATGGAGCCGGCGCCCATGGGAAGGGCGCTCCTGTCAATCCAAAGCCTATCTAGTCTGAGCAGCCACGCACGTTCCCAGGGCTCCAGGAGCCTTGGGATGGAAGGAAACGACTGTGTGAGGGTCCATCAACTTGTTAGGACAGTCGAAGTCAATGTTGGCAGCTTTCACACTAGGGGGTTGGCAGGCATGTTAACTCACCAGAGGGTGCAGAGTGCCCCCATATTTGTATGGGGTGCAGAATGTGTATTTGTAGAGCTTGTCGAGCTCTGCGAATGGAATGCAGGAGGAGAGTTCTTGTTGTCACCAAGGAAATGAATTCACTGTGGGATTGGGCAGCATTTGTTCCCTGAGCAAAGTGACCGATGCGTCTACACTCAGGCGGCCTGGAAATGGAAGTTATACTCTGAGATTGGAGGGAGAGAACAGGGAGAAGTGACTGAGAAACACGGTGGTTCATGACAGGGAGGGGATGTCATTCATTCATTCATTCATTCATTCATTTCTTTGCAAATATTTACCTAGCACTTATTTTGTGCCAGATACTGTTCCTCGTGCTTTAGGACGATTAACTCATTTAATCATCTTAACAACCCTGTGAGGTAGGTGCTATTATTATCTCCATTTTATAGATGAGAATTGTAGATTGAGAATGTAACACATGGTCTTAGTCCTTTAAGAAAACAATAATTGCTGAGAGGACACGGGTAGAGGTAGGGAATGACTGTGAGGTGTAGCAGACCATGGCTAAAAAGGGGTTGGTAGCCTCAAAGACTAGTAGGATCATGTCAAAGTGTTCAGAACACAACTGGAAGGGGCTCCCACTTGTCAAAAGTAAGAATTTGAACATGAGAAAAAAATAACTTCAGTGGATTGAAACACATTAAAAATTTAAATCGTAATGATACATAAAACAATTATTCACTGTTGGAAGTGCTAGTGAACCAGCTCATTATTTTGACGACAGGTAAATAAAGGGAAAGAATCTAGCATTTATCGTTCCTTTCTGATACAAACTATACTACCGGGTAGATGGGGAAATTTTTCTCTTTTATAAAGTGTTCCAAATAATAAAGAAAGAAGGAAGCACCATTTTGTAACACATGATGAGCTAGTAGGTGTTGGCATTGAACATTGACTGCTAGCCACATAAGAAGATAAGATCAGACGTCAGGGGCCTTTTGATGGAAGAACACACCACCATCACGAAAGTAGTCTTGCCAAAGGAAAACCTGAATCTTTGATCGGAGTGCTCAGAGTCCAGATCTAACATTTAATCTGCAGAAGATTTAGAGGACAGTTAAATTATACCATAGGGCCTGCCTTGTCTTTTAGAAATACAAATGAAATAATCACAGATGAAATAATATAATGTCTGAGATTTGCCTCAAAAATAATATAGTTGGAAAAATATAATAATATATTGTGTGTAGGGGTGGAGGGTATAGATGGAGGTATGATGAGGTAGGATTTGCCATGGATGTTGGTGGTTGGGGCTGGGTAACAGTTGCAAGATAGTTACTGTTTTTCTTTGCATGTGTTTGAAATTTTACATTAAGAAAAAAGTTTAAAAAGAAAAGGAAAGAGCTGAAACCACTGCTCTGGGAAATTTGATTCACTCAAGATCGCAGTAGGTAAATTAAAGGCTCACTAGCTAGCAGTGTGTGTCTTTGGGGATTGTGGGAAGTCAGGTTCCGTGACTTTCTCCTGCAAAATCCCAAGTTGGGGAATGAGAGCAATGGGCAGCAAAGGGGACCCTTCTTTGGAGTCTGTCAAAGTGTGATCTAAAGACCTCTTCCCTGAGAATCATCCAGTACTTGTTAAAAATTCCTGAGTTGCACCCCAGACCAGGAGAAGGGGCCTAGGACTCACAAGTTTCCAAGCGAGCCTGATGTTCACCAAAGTTTGATAATAATTGCCTGAGTGTGCCTAGAGAGTCGAGGAGCTGTTGCTGCAAGAGAAGAATAGCAAGGGTGCTCAGTATGCTCTCCATCTTCTCACTGAAGTGGAGACCAGCTCTTTAGCCTGGAATAAGGGTTCAGGACTGGGAAGAGTAAGAGTCTGGACGACTTTACTCTGGGCTCCCTGAAGATGGCTCCTTAGTGGTGTTTATCTTTGCAGCCTCATTGTCTAACATGGAGGAGGTACTCAGAGAATATTTATTGAATGAGGGAATGATTTAGTGAATGAATGGAATGAATGAATGAATGGGTAAATGTATAAAGAACAGTGAAGCTTGTGCTGCGGACTCACCCAGAGCTGCTGAGGCAGGACTGAGCCACTGAGCTAATTGGGAGAAGGGGCCAAGGTGAGCAAAGTGCAGAATCCTGGACAGACAGACCCCAGTAGTGGGTGGTAACTCAGATCTGAA